GTGTGTGTGTGTGTGTGTGTGTGTGTGTGTGTGTGTGTTTTCCACTTGGTATTTTCTGTTGTCCAGTCCTTTGGTGATTTCCTCAAACTCTTCACCGATTTTGAATGAACAGGAGTAGTTTCAGAAAGTTGTAAAGGTTTTAATGGTGAAAGAGTCTCCGTCTTGCTCAAAAACTTTCTGCGGCTTTAGCATCCTCGCCATCTTTTGGGTGGCGAAATCAATTCCTGTATTACATATATTACATTGCACAAGGTTAAACCCATATTCTTTGTAAATACATTTACAATACCATTTTCCCTTATTAAAAAAAATAAATGAAATAACAACTAAAATAAATAAATATGAAAATATATATGAATTAAAATATAAAAAATAAAATGCCTACTATGCATATGCATGTAAAATACCTAATATATAAAATATGAAAACCCTGAGAAATGCAATGAATGACATATTCACCAAGAGCCACCATGTAACCTTCAAAGTTTGGATTGTCCACTATGTCTCAGGTTTCACTGTAGTTTGCAGGCATGCTTGATCCTGTTGATCCTGAAGCTTTTGAACCTAGAAGCTGGAATTGAAAGGTTCATGTGTGGAAATGAGAGAAGCAGATGTGGTGTGTTGTATTTCATAGCAGGTCTGTGTGTAGTAATTTGGGGTGATTCCTAGGACACAGCAGCTATCTCAGAGGCTTGTTCAGAGGGATTTCTTTAACTCTCATACAGGCAGGCAACTTTTCTTGACCCTCTCCTCTAGGAGATGCTTCAGAAGTTGTCTCGAGGCAACATTGAGGTGGATTTAGTTCTCATATGGGTTTTATAATTCATCTATTCTAAGTTCACACTGAAAATTCAGTCATCATTTACCCGGTGTGAATGTGGGCAGTGAAGGTTCACAATAAATAAAAGTAAGACACCATAAAATGAAGTCTTCCGTGATGAACTGACCAAAATCAAAATGACCAAAAGTCATTATTTTCTGGAAAAAAAAAGGGTTTCGAATTACAGTGCAATAATAATAAATATGTTAATGAAAAAGTCATTAAAATCTCTAAAACTATACTGAGACTAACCACTAGAGGGTGTCATTTGATATTACCCAGCCGATGATCTTGCTTCTCCCCCAGAGCTACAAACCTGCTATTCCTACTGGCCCTGAGACCTTTCTGGTAAGTACTGTAATTCTTCTATGAATTGTCTTCCCTCAGGCTTACATCATTATGTAAATACTTAAAATGTTTCAGTAAGACGCATTTAAGATGCATAAATAATTTTCTTTCATTATAGCTGTACATCTTGCTAATGAAAGTGTATTCTGCTGTATATAGAATCATCTGAAGTGACAGAAACGGCACAATGCTTCACCACTTCTTAGTTCATGCAGCTTTTCAGACCAGCAGGTGGCTTCCAAGAGATCAAAGGTTAAAATTGTAAGGGGTGTGTGTGTGTGTGTGTGTGTGTGTGTGTACAGACATGTATAACATAAAAATGTTAAAATCAAAATTGTCAATATTGTTTCTTTCTGGCAGTCAGATTGTTCTTTTCATCTTTGCGGTGCTTTTCCTGGCACCACAGTTTTATGTTTTGTCAAGGTAAGCGACCTATAATGGTTTGCAGATAAAAAAAAAGCTGATCTCTTTTTATATAAAATAAATACATTCATATGCGCATACGTGTTATCATGTGATGTGATATGCCTAATATTCTGCAGTAATGTTTTCACAGGCCCAAATCTTCTCGCTATTGTGAAAAGCCACTGTTGAACAATCTTATAGCCTTCATTGTGTTCTCTTTTATAGCAACAGGTAATCTGATTTTGATATTTATAAATGGCTTGTGTTGCATGTTTTTCTGCTTTCTAATTTGAAATACTAATTATCAACCCTTCTCGCCCCATTGAAGGTTTGGCTGTAGCACTTACACTCACGGACCCAGTTCCCAAGAGCATCAGGGTAGCTTTTCACTCATTTGGGCTGTTCGCATTTATGCAGGGACTTTGTACAGTCATTCTTACCCTGTCTGCACCTCAGTGTGTAAGTGTGAAATATGGTATTATGATTTTATGTGCAAAAAAAAAAAAAAGGTTATATATATCACTTTTTATTTTTCTCAGGCGAAGACCACCACTGAATTGTATATCTTTTCTTTGGTAGTCTCTTGGGCCTGCATACTCTCAACAGGTAAGATGATATACTTGTTTTTTGGTCAGTTCCATTCCATAGTATTAAGTGTAGTAGAAAAAAATATATATAAAGGAAGAAATAACCATTGTGTCTCTACCCAGCTTTCTTTCTGGTAAGAGGAGGTCTTTGCCTGATTCACAGACTGTTTCCTCATTGGTTAAGAGATACGTGCCTCTGGGGTTGAAAATGAGCCACTGCTGCAATACGGCCTTCTACTGACACTCAATACAGGGGCATCTATTATTTACATGGTTTTCAGACAATTGTGAGGCATAGGTTAAGATAGATTCTATTTAATGACACACGTTTTCACTAATACTAGCATACAAGGGAGGAGAAATGTACGCAGAATGCATACAAATTGTACTTAGATTTTTTACATTGTGTTTATAGTTCCACACGTTTGGGTTCTATTTGGAATTTTCTGAATACAAGACATTTTAAAAGAGAAAAAAATACAACACAGATGATTTCAAAAATATATTTTATTGCTATGTAGTAAAAGCACTGCAAAATATGAAATGATGTTCGTGATAACATGTAATACGGCTGAATACCGTAGCAAAATTTCTTTAAAACATATAATGGAAAAGCAAGACACTTTATTTAAAAGTGTCGATTTGAATATGTTAATCCAGTCAGCAAGACACAAACGTCATTGAAATACACAATATGATCTCTATGATGTTAAACATTTTTGTATTTATAGGCACCTTAATAACATAGGAATCTATTTAAAATTGTGTAAATACACATAAGGACTTCAATGTGTGTGCATTTATTGTAATGTTTTATTAACATTTTCACATTAGATGATTAGATCCCTGTGGAATGTAATGTTGTTCTGCTTCACTACAAAATGTTAAATCGGTGGTTATAAATCAGACAATGCTGTCCAGCTGTGCATAAACAGCTCCTGCCTTGTTTCATAAAGCATGCAATGCTGACTAACATGCACTTCTTAGATGTTAAACAACACAGTATAAAAACAGACTTTACGAAGGTATTCATGTTTAGATATAAAACTATTGTAAGGTGTTGTGCCTTTTCAACTGCTCGACACATAATGAACCTTTGTTTTCTGAGGTATGACAACAGTCTTTGACACTAATACATTGTCAACAGTTCTGGAATGGTTTTATCAAGTAAGGCCAACAATAGAAACTCAAATCCGTCTAAACTTGAAACATTTGTTCCGTCCTAAAAACACTGGATATGCCATCTTAGGTAATAGGCAAGTTTTGTGTACATGCTTTATTAGGATTTCTTAACCTGAGGTTTGTGTCTGATGAATAATTGCAGCTATATAAAAAGTAAAAAAAGTAAATTACAGAGCATTCAAATACATGTTTTATCTGATCACTGCTTGGTCACAAAAAAAAAGTAGAAAAAGTGTTTAATAAAAATAAAACTTTTCATACGTATCTTCTTCATTGCTTCTAAACTGTTGGATCTTGTAAAATAAGGATTTCAGCACTATTATAAGATTGATTACTTGAAAAAAGTTATTGTAAGCTACTAGAGTTCCTGAGATTTGAAGTCGTTTATAATGCAATGATTCCATAGCACAATCAAACTGCAAAGTCCTTATCACAGCATTAAAATAACTCTCACACATATCACACCTCAACTGGTGTGAAAATTAAACTTCAATTTATACTCCTCAATCATTCTCAATACAGCATTTAATTTGAGCTATAAGCCCTAGTGGGTGGCTTCACTGACCGATTTGTACTGGTCTTTAGGCCATTTATCCTAGCAATGCATCATAGTCAATGTACCATATAAGAGTACCGCTCTTCGGCTGTACTTTGGTGATGGGATACTTGGATGATTCGCCCTTAATTCGGCTGAGTTGACTGACAAGTTCATGCTTGCTCTTGCCCATAATTAAAACACCTACCCTTCGAGCCCTGTTGATGGCTGTAAATGTAAGACTCATCCTCTGGTGAGGTTTAATGGGGCTTTCTGTCAGAATTACCAAACGTTCCTCGTCGTTTTCCAACTTGGTGTCCTGAAATAGTGAGGCAGTGTGGCCGTCCTGGCCTACGCCAATCAGGATGTAGTGGAAGCTGGAGCCATTGACATGTTTCTTGATTTCCTTCTCATATAATGTTGGACCACCGTCCTCTTCCACACATAACCGTTGGGTAAGATGCACAGGCATGGGGTGGATGTTGAAGTAGGGTATGCGGATATGCTGAAGCAGGAGATCGTGAATGGACCGGAAGTTGGAGCCTGATTCTGTATGTGGCACACAGCGCTCGTCCACTTGCCATATGTGAGTGTTGCGCCACGGAAAGGTGTAGAGGTTCAGGGCCAGTGCACGGAGCAGTGCCACCGGGCTGGAGCCACCAGACAACGCCAGGTGAAACTGACCTTCTTCATGAATGGCCTCCTCAGCAGCCAAGAGAAGATCAGAAGCCAAGCGCTCCACCAGTTCCTGTGCCCAGGCAGATACCATTTCAGAGCTACGGTACTTCCCTTGCATCACTTGGAAGTTGTCCTCGGCACCAGGTTTGATCACGTTGACCACAGCTTCATGGCTAAAGGCGACCTGATGGCCCTGCAGCTGAAAGTTTAACAGGTTACCATTGGCTACGCCACCTGGATACACCCGTGGAAAGACCCGACTCAGACCTTCAAGGAGGGGAGTCCAAAACTCCCAGGAAGCAAGGAGTCCTTCGGCACTAATAAAGCTATCCTTGCGTCCAAAGAAGACGTGTGAGATCAGCTCACAATAAGCCTCTCTGGGTGTGACCGGTGACTGAATGTAATAGTCACTGAGTGGTAAACCCAGCACGTTCACGTCTTTGTATTCGGTGACCTCTTTCCAGTCACCGCTGCTCGCCAGTTTGGGCTTGAACAGGTTCTTGCTCAAAAGAATCGCAGGGTACTGGAGGGTACCGTGACCCAGATAGAATATGATCTGTTTGGATTTGCACTGAACATTGTTGGGATCCTGGACACAAAATACATCGCTTTTGAAAAGTACACGTGCATAAGAAACCCGTTCATCAAGTGCCTTGCCTGAGGTCATAAATATGGGGATACCCTCGTATTGTGCATTGTCAACATGAACGACCACACCTGTAAAGACAATTATAGTCAACGCAAGCAAGGCTAGAGTGATTTTCCACAGTCACACTGCTATGAATCAATGATTATGTTTACATGCACTTAGGAAAACAGTTTATTCCAGGATTTTCACAGAAAGCAGCATTCTGAAAGATTATGTAAATGTGAACACCATTTTTCTTTCACCTTTAAATGGATTAAGAGATTCATGTGGTCAAGTAAATGCATAAGAGGCATCCTGACAGGTTTTTGAGTGTGCAGGTAAATATGAATGCCACCTTTGCACCTTAAACAGCTTATAAGTGTTTTTCTTGTGCGCATGTAAACATACTGAATGATGTAGCCACAAAGCTCTTCCACTCACCAGCAAATGTGGGGGTCAAGCTGAAGTAGTCCTTTGTTTTATTTAGCTCTTCCTGAACCTCTTCATTGTAAGCTTGGTACTGACCTACTACCGCATTACTGTTATCTACGTGTTGAAGGGAAGCCAAGAAATTAAGCTTGTTTTGTAGTATCTCCTTGCTGTTGGATAGGTTTGCAGGAAGGTTCATCAACATAAGGGTCATGACCTCTGTGAGGTGGTTCTGGAGCACATCTCTGATGACGCCATATTGATCATAAAACTGAATCCGCCCTGTAAACGAATGATAGATAATAAGTGCCAAAGTAATTACTGAGAAGATAAATGGAGAAAGTAACTTTTTGATAACTTGCATTTATAAGCAACTAAACAGTACCTTTGGCATCCAGGGTTTCCTTCAATACAATTTCTATTCTTTCAATATGGTGCTTGTTCCAGATAGGGTCTAGAAGTTTCTTATTCTCTTTCCTAAATGGCAGAATTTTAGAGACAACCTTTGGGACAGAAAAAAAGTATTTTTAAAGCTCATGTAGATCCAGTTATTTATGTGAAAGTACACTACCATTCAAGAGTTTGGGGTTAGTAAGATTTTTTTTTCTTTGAAAGAAATCAATACTTGATTCATAAAAGATAAACAAGGATATGTTACAAAAGATTTCTATTTCAAGCAAATGATGTTCTTTTGCACTCTTCATTCATCAAAAATTCACTGTTTCACAATATTATGTTTTTTTTTTACTGTATTTTGACTGAATAAATTGAGCTTTGGTGAGCACTTCTTTCAAAAAACATAAAATCTTGTCAACACTAAACTTTGGAACAATAGTTTATGTTAATAAAATAACATTGTACCTGCTTCCCTAAATAGTGGTCAATCCTGTACATCTCCTCTTCTTTCAGCTGGCCTGACAGTTTTTTGTCAAGGGCCTGAGCACTATAAAGGTCGTGACCAAATGGTTTCTCCAGTACCACCCTCAGCCATGCGTCAGATGGGGGGCGGCAGGTGTTGTTGATCTTCTCTGCAATGTCTGCATATGCGAAAGCTGGAACAGACAGGTAGAAGAGCCTCCCTGCTTCGACCATACCCTCCTGTTCTAGCTGCTGTTTGATCTGCTGGCTGAGCTTCTCGTAGTCCTCAGTAGTCTTCAGCTGGTGATACTTGGACAGATGCAGGAACTGGTCTTTGACCAAATCACAACGCTCCACAGAGAGCTCCGGAGGGCAAGCCAGCTCCTTCAAGATCCCAAACAGCAGCGGCGTCCCCTTCTCGGTCGGCGAAAGTCCCCCACCGTAAAATGAGAAGGTGTGTCCTTTGCCTACCTGGTCAGCATAGAGCTGGAAAAAGCCTTGCCACAGGTACTTCCTGGCCAAGTCACCTGTTCCACCCACAACTACCACAGTCACATGCCCAAGACTCTTCGTAGCCTCATGATTATCTGTGTGGCCCCTCTGCCAGCATATGCTGGCCATTAGCAGCAGCTCCCATCTTATCCACAGCATTGTAATATCAAATGCCCTCCCTTTAAAAAGGAAAGATTTTAGGATGTTTGAAAAATCTATTGATGCAAATTCTGAAAAGAGTTCACAAAAAAAACAGAAAACCAAACCATGAAAACTATGATTTGTTAAGCATGAATAACCAAGGCACTGAATTGACTGGAATGCATTCAGAAGCTGGATTATGAAGTTTGCCTCACTGGCTTATTGATGGCTTTATTTCCCCATCTATAACTCAGTATAAAATGAACACCTTTTGCAAACATTTCAGCACTGCAACAAGATAAGACTTTAGTCCCTAAATAAACACTTCAGAACTATTAAGAATTGCAGCTGGATTATAAATGAAAGTGGGAAAAGATAATTATTTTTATAATTATAAAATAAATTACGTTTACACCAAAATTTTATTCACTTTTACAAAATACTAATATATATATATATATATATATATATATGTGTGTGTGTGTGTGTGTGTGTGTGTGTGTGTATGATGTGAAAGTACACTACCATTCAAGAGTTTGGGGTTAGTAAGATTTTTTTTTCTTTGAAAGAAATCAATACTTGATTCATAAAAGATAAACAAGGATATGTTACAAAAGATTTCTATTTCAAGCAAATGATGTTCTTTTGCACTCTTCATTCATCAAAAATTCAGTGTTTCATAATATTAGTGGTTTTTACTGTATTTTGATCAAATAAATTGAGCTTTGGTGAGAGACTTTTTTCAAAAACAAAAATCTTGTCAATGCCAAACTTTTGAACAATAGTGTATGTTAATGAAATAACATTGTACCTGCTTCCCTAAATAGTGGTCAATCCTGTACATCTCCTTTTCTTTCAGCTGGTCTGACAATTTTTTGTAAAGGGCCTGAGCACTGTAAAGGTCGTGACCAAATGGCTTCTCCAGTACCACCCTGAGCCATGCGTCAGATGGGGGGCGGCAGGTCTTGTTGATCTTCTCTGCAATGTCTGCATATGCGAAAGCTGGAACAGACAGGTAGAAGAGCCTCCCTGCTTCGACCATACCCTCCTGTTCTAGCTGCTGTTTGATCTGCTGGCTGAGCTTCTCGTAGTCCTCAGTAGTCTTCAGCTGGTGATACTTGGACAGATGCAGGAACTGGTCTTTGACCAAATCACAACGCTCCACAGAGAGCTCCGGAGGGCAAGCCAGCTCCTTCAAGATCCCAAACAGCAGCGGCGTCCCCTTCTCGGTCGGCGAAAGTCCCCCACCGTAAAATGAGAAGGTGTGTCCTTTGCCTACCTGGTCAGCATAGAGCTGGAAAAAGCCTTGCCACAGGTACTTCCTGGCCAAGTCACCTGTTCCACCCACAACTACCACAGTCACATGCCCAAGACTCTTCGTAGCCTCATGATTATCTGTGTGGCCCCTCTGCCAGCATATGCTGGCCATTAGCAGCAGCTCCCATCTTATCCACAGCATTGTAATATCAAATGCCCTCCCTTTAAAAAGGAAAGATTTTAGGATGTTTGAAAAATCTATTGATGCAAATTCTGAAAAGAGTTCACAAAAAAAACAGAAAACCAAACCATGAAAACTATGATTTGTTAAGCATGAATAACCAAGGCACTGAATTGACTGGAATGCATTCAGAAGCTGGATTATGAAGTTTGCCTCACTGGCTTATTGATGGCTTTATTTCCCCATCTATAACTCAGTATAAAATGAACACCTTTTGCAAACATTTCAGCACTGCAACAAGATAAGACTTTAGTCCCTAAATAAACACTTCAGAACTATTAAGAATTGCAGCTGGATTATAAATGAAAGTGGGAAAAGATAATTATTTTTATAATTATAAAATAAATTACGTTTACACCAAAATTTTATTCACTTTTACAAAATACTAATATATATATATATATATATATATATATGTGTGTGTGTGTGTGTGTGTGTGTATGTGTGTATGCTTATACATAAAATATCCATAAAATATCCAATATATTTAATGTATAAAAGTAAATAAACCTAAATGAAGGCTACATGTAATTCAGTGTTTCGGTCAGGTACAACGTATCAAGCATTACAACACTGCATAATCACTATGTGATGTTTCAACACAAAAACCGTTAGAACCAGTAATAACGAGTCATGTCTGCAAGTCATGGTGCCTTTTAATGTTTGAACTTACCAAAGTCCATGAACATATTTTTCTTTACTTTTCTTTCTTATTTTAAAATCACTCAGCACAATAAAATCCTGATAATTTGAGTTCATTATGTGTGTGGATCTTTACCATTAATAGTTTTATTGTAATGCATAGAGTATGAGGGCCAAAGGTCTATGGTAAGCCCAAGTTAAGTGGAGGGTCACATATTCTACTGACATACTGTACCTGGACTGATTGGGAATAATGACAAAAAAAGCAAGAACCACGGAAATGCAAATGTAATCTCCCACTGATTATTCCCCCTTTAGAATCAAGGTTAAGCCAACAGCCCCAGAACAAACAGACTACATTTACGGTAAAAGACCTGAATGAAGTGAAAGGTCACACAACTTGGCCAAACAGAGAGGAACCAATATATAAAGTGACAATAGTTTATGTTAGAGTTGAGAATTGCAGGAATCATTCTGACATATCTAACAGAAAACAGTCAACCAGGACGAGTCTAATTTCACGATAACTCATGTTGAGCTTGTGTAAAGGCCAAAGATGACAGAGTACATGCAACCCTAATGCGCCTCAGACAGAGCAAGCACTGTTTGCACATTTGGGTGTTGCAAATTGTTAAACACAGAGGCACTATCTAGACTTAAAATAAATACAAAAATTCCTTGAAACAATCAAGACAAAAAAATGAGCATAACAGGATGCAATACAGTTAAATAAACAGTTGCTGCACAGAATGTAATTCAGCACATACTCAGGTCATTCCTCCTGTTCATATTATATTTTGAACAAAATACACATTATTACATTTGATTAATTATAACTTTATTATTTACACAATGACATCAAAATCATGTCACTTAACCTCATTAAGGGCTATTTTATCCAGTATAATATATGATGGGGGCACCAAAATAATTTATTTAAAATGTGTGAATTAATAATACAATCCAATTAAATGTGACCATATATCGGTTTCTGATGCGAAGTACGTTTATTACATTTTAAAATATGAGAATGCACTGTATTAGAGGCGGAGGTGAGTACACTATCATCATCACAAAGTAAGTTACTTAATCAGATTCTGACAGCAGCACCTGTTATAGCTAACTGACACAGGCAGGCAAATAAAAATATAACATTTTAAACTGTAATGTACATAAAACAACTGAAGGCTGAGTGACACATACATAAGGACAAAGATGAATTTGACAGGGAGAGACTGTGAGGACATACCTGATTCACCTCTGGACAGTATCGTGTCAGCTCCAGCGGAGTAGACTGGCGGATGGTAACACTACAAACAAGCGTTTCCAGTAGATGGTCACGTGATCGTGACGCTGGGTAATATTATGGTTTGAGTAAATATCATTCGAGATTTTTAAAAATATGTTGACTGATAACACGGGGACTTATAAACCCGTGAAGTGCTTAAGGAGATATTAAAACACACATTATGTAAGTGTAAATATCATAACAGAGATATTTAAATCTCCCTGAGAGGGGAGATTTAAAAACGTGCGTGTGCTGTGAAACAAACAATTAAATTAATTGCATTCTTTGACAGTACCAGTTTAAAGTCCGTGTTGAGAAGTCAGGTAGGTTGTCTGCAGTTTTGCTTGGAAAATATTTATTTATTATTTATAATATAATTATTTATTCCTTAATTATCCAGAATTTGTATCGAAAATGTAAATCCACTGTTATGCAGATCGTGTGTTGCCCAGAGGAGGGCGATATTTGCCAATAGGTGCTGAATGAATTACTCCAAACGTGGCTTTCAGTGAACAGATTCCCCTTGTCAAGGTATAACATAAAAAAAAAAATGTTATGCTGCAGTAGAATAGAAGGCTATAACTACATTAAAAGACATATCAAAAGTTTTTCAAAACCACAAGAGTACCTAAAGGAGTTTAGGCCTTCTTACACTTGATTTCACAACATATTGAGCAATTCGTTTTCATCAGTGTGATCTTTAAAACAATCTTATCTTTGAGTACATGTGTGTGTATTCCTCTCTTGCACATTTCCTTTTTTCTTTAGAGAGCGAATGAGTCTTAGGCAAAGAGTATTCAAACAAGAACCATTCACCTCAGGAAACATGTAAAGTCATTCCCTGATTCAACCCAAGCTTTCTGAATCTGCTTTAAAGGGGTCATATGATGCGATTTCAATTTTTCCTTTCTCTTTGGAGTGTTACAAGCTCTTGGTGCATAAAGAAGATCTGTAAAGTTGCAAAGACTAAAGTCTCAAATCCAAAGAGATATTCTTTATCACAAAATAATGTTCTTTTCAGCAGCATCATATGACCCCTTTAAACCTTCTCGTAAGCATCATTAGTACATTTTAAAAGCACTACAAAAAAATCAGTCAACTGTCTGTTATTCTATAATGAATGCTTCTAATCTATATAAGCATTCAAAAAATGTATTTTGTCAGAATACGCTGACATTTGTGGATGCCCGTCAAAAGAGAAAGATATTCTTTGAAGCCAGATGGTGTAGACCACATCTACTACCAGAGGCTAATGAGGCTATGTTAACCAGTCAAACCTTGACCCCTTGATCCCTAGCAGCCTAACATAGCACATGCTAATGGTGTGAGTTTGGGGTAGGTGCATTCAACCAATGGCAGATGGGGAGTGTTTAGGAAAGCTGTTTGAAAACAGTCTATTGTTCGGAATGAATACTAGCTTGCTAAATACTGCGCAGTGTGCACTCTATACGGACTGTTTAAAAAAAATGTAAGTGAAGCATGCTACGCAAGCTTTCAGTATAATGTTCTCTAATAGCAAACTGTGTTAGTAGAAAACACTTGTGAGTGTCTAGTTGTGAGGTTTTTATTGATTTATTTATTTTAGTGTAAAAATGTCTCAGTATGCTCAAACAATAAGTGAGAAAATAGATTGCAGTTACTGTTACTTCCAGTTGTTGTAAGTTGTTACACAGGAAATAAGTCAAGTCATGTGCAGTGCACTGTGGGATACAGTATTCTATGCGTATTGATAATCTGCATGGTGTGCAAAATTGCAGAAATAGTAAGAGTAGTATGTTAGCATGATATTCCGAACATAGCTATTATTGTTGCAGTTCTACTTGGTGATGCTATAGTGACTCAAACATTATATAAATTTAGGTTACACACACTTCAGTATAATCAAAAGCATTGTATTGATGTTAGCGGCCCATTGCAGGATCTGTTCCATCATATAATGTAATTTCCTACGGCTATTATTGTTTGAATGCTTAGAGTCACTCATCACTGTTTGAATCCAAAACATTTCCTGCAGATACGTGTTTAGCATGTCTGCAAATGTTGCTACATGTCAGAGAAATTAATAAAGGAATGAACAACTTCTTAGCATTTCTTGGTAATATTTTATTTTTAAGATTTGTATTGGTTTTTAGACAAAAGACATAACATAACATATATTCACATATAAGGCCTTCCTAGCACAAGACAAATTATTATTTTCTTGGGTCACATCAATCATTGTTACAGTTATCTAAAACTGAAACGTTGTGAAATAAAATAAACTTATAAAGCCACACAGACCTATTAAAAATAATAATAAGAAAAACAGAACTGAATTACTAATGCTTGAACTAAAACTAAAATGAAAATAAAAGCTCATCAGTGCCCCAAAAATCAAAACCCATCATACATATCTCCTACAACAGTTTTCAAAAATCCCCCAAAACGTAATTCAATTTTCTTTAAAAGCCTAATATCCATTTTAAATATGTGCTATTTTCTCCAGTGCCATTAAACCATCTCCATATATTTGGTGCCTCAGGTTTTTTCTTCTTCTTCTTTACTGAAGAGCAATAAGACTTTTGCTTGTGCTTAGACATATCTATAAATGTATGTTAATTGCTTTCTTTTCAATCTGAGTTTACAAGGGTATATTTGAAATACCACCGTTTTTGTTTCAAGAGATAAAGACATTATTGATTTTATTAATCATACTCTGTACTTCTTTCCAGAATTGCAAAATTGTTTAAAAGTACCACTACAAGTCTTATACTTTGGACAAGTGTCTGAAATATTTTCATCATTAAATGTATGTAATATGTTGGAGTTACACTAACTTGCATCAACCAGTTGTATGGTCTTTTCATGAAGGTGGTTGTTTTTCCATTCCATTCAGAACAGCGAGGAGCATTGCACTGGTTGCCAGATGCATGAGAGATTTTATACCCAAATGCACATGTACTCCCAGCTGGGACCACACTAGTGTAGGCCTCCCAGCTAGATCACCAGTTAAGGTCAAAGTGAGATGTAAACTGTAAACTAAGTGACAGAAGTTCCTGTTTGTGTGACAAGTGTCTCTGGTGTAGCAAGTTTGCTAGTGTGTGCGCATGTGTGTCATGCAGGAAAACATCAGGGAGCTCAGCTGTTGCCGTCTTAACGTGCAGCCAATGGGGCTACGTGTGATTTGAGTGTGTGTGTGTTAAAGGGAGCTGGAGGTAAGAGTGGCTATGGCACCAGGGGGCTCATTGTGTGTAAGATCTCCCACACTTCTTACAACCATCCGTGTTCTTCCCATCACCCCCTTCCCACTGCCACCCTGCCACTTGCCTTCCTTCCTATATATTCAAGTTCTTTGTTTCTCCTGAAGTCCTTTGTTCTTCCTCCAGCACAACATTCCAATCAAGCTGAGCACACAAACACATGCATATGAATGTGTGCCATCCTCTTTATTGGGCCTCTTCACCAACACACATTACATGTATCATCCCTGTGTCTAAGCACTGACTAATTTAAAGATCTGCCTGCTACTTAAGAGCTCAATACTGCCAGATTAAGAAAGTGAATGAACGCTGTTAGTTAGGCGGTGGATCAAAGAAACAGCATTCCTTTAGAAGAGAACTTGTGAAATATATGCTGACGATATTTATGTAATAATTGGTACATAAACAACCTCAGCATATATTTCACAATTATACTTCAGTGCATGGTTTTGTGGAATTTTTTTTTTTATGCAATTATTTATTTTTTCATTAGTTTTTTTGGAATTCCCGATTCTGGTGTGGTAATGTATATATTTGTATATTGACTGCTTGTATATCTGTATAATGACTGCTAACTGCGTAACTGACCAATGCTACAAGTAATTGAATTCCCAAATAGCATGTCTTTCATATCACTCTGGCTTCATTTTCATTTTTCATCTTAAAATAATATTTTTTTTTGTAATTAAAGTTATTAATCAAGTTAAATATACTGTATATGTGTGTGCATTTAATTGAATTATATATATATATATATATATATATTACAATATTATATAAAATTAATATTTTTAAATATTAGTACAATTTAACTGTTTTCTATTTTATTATATTTTAAAATGAAAATTATTTCTGTAATGGCTGAATTTTCAGCATCATTACGCCAGTCTTTAGTGTCACATGATCTTTCAGAAATCATTATAATATGCCGATTTGCTGATATAGCAGTTGTGCAGCTATATATTTTTGAGGAAGCGGTGATATATTTTTTCAGGATTCTTAGATGATTGGAAAGTTCTAAAGAACAGCATTTATTTGAAATATAAATCTTTCATAACAGTGTAAAAGTTTTTACTGTCACTTCTGATCAATTTAATGCGTCGTTGATGCATAAAAACATTCATTTAATTTAACTTTTCTCATTATTTTAAACCAAGTGGATGTATGAAATCAGTTTTATTTGTTCACACAAATATCCTATAGCAGACTAACCACAGATGTAATACATCACATAGATATTCCATTAATGTTTGCCAAGCAGATAGTGTCCCAAATAATTATGGTCTTATTTTTGAACAGTGTTGACATTGTTTTATAATTTAACAAAAGTCTCTTGTTGTGAAATAAATATAATTGTGCTTACAAAATGTTCTTGCATTAGCTTTATATAAATGAAATGCCACTTGCTTTGATGTTTTGTAATCTTATGCAATGACATTCATTCGTTTTTAATTACGGCTTAATTGACTAAATACATTGTAGTCACTTTAAATCTAAATTCCATTTATGACTCACTTTTTAATTCTGTTAATTTTGCATTAATAATGTGTTAACAACTTGCCATATGTCACTGGCACATATCCCGCAGCAGCACTCCCTTCACCCCCAGTAAAGGAATCAGTGTAGGATCGGGAGCGTTAACAAAGCTTTTGAAGGGCAGACAGTCTCGACGCAGCCTACAATGGAAAGCCGCCTCTGTATTTGCGTTTTTTGGCGAGAGGTGGTGACGAGGGTGACAAGAAGAAGTTGAGGGGTGGAAGAGTTGAATGACCCTGC